TAATAAGCTGTCGACGAAACATCTTCGATCTTGAACTTGTCACAGAACCTGATGAAGGCGTTGCTTATGAACTGCGGACCGTTGTCATGGATGATCCGTCTTGGCACGCCGTATCGGTATATGACATGATGCTTGATGAAATTGATGACGTTGTTCGTCTTCACTTCTCTGAGCGGAATTGTTCGTGACAACTCCTCGAAAGTCAAGGAGTTGCCCGTTGAATGTGCACCAGTGTTGACGAAGAGGGCTCGTCAAAGGTGCCGTCAACATCTCGCGCGTCAATTTGCCAAGGCTTTGAAGCCTGTTGACGGGATCTGCTATGATGCGGATCTGAAACGCAGAAGACACAAAGTATTGAAGGCGCAAAGTGTTCCAGCAACAAGTTTTGGGAACCTCCTCCCAATCACCTACTAACGAATGGGTTCGTGTCAAACGAACCCGTTCAACTCTTGAGGAGCGTATCCACAAGCGCCGCGCACTGCTAGCGCAGACGAGGATCCTTGTACGGAATGCATAGGAGTTACAGAAAGGAAAGGTGGTCAAAAATCCACCAAGATCTAAGCAAGGTTGGATGCCAAAGGCCAAATTAGCGCCTAAGGCAAAAGCATCCGAGGCTGCTCTTCGGCCTTTGTCAACTCCAGATCCCGTTCCTATTGCTCTCGCACCTCCGGCGAAGCCCTATGACAGCGTGGATCTCCCCAAATCTACTACTCGAGAATCGAGGAAAAGCGCTTGTTAAGGAAAGCTGGAGATCGTTGAAGGAGCTTCGAGCCAACATCCGGACTGGGGGTCGTACGCGACCTCCTAACAAATGGATTTCTGCAACGGCCCGCTTGGCGGTGCGTGCAGAAAACCAGGAGCCCGTTAAGGTTTCACCCTCACAAGGGTGTGATTCCAAAAGTGTGACTCCTGTAGATGCCAACAAGGCAATGTTTACTCAGAGGAAAACGCTTCAAACAGACGAACGCGTTGTACCTGAGAATCCATGTAAGCGGCCGATAGCTTACTCCGACCGCAACGTCGATGAGTTGTACTATCAGGCTGGGGGTACGAATAAATCTCGAAAGAGAAGTACCCGGGAAGCGGACTCTCACTGTCCGTGTATCAAAATTATCAGGGCAGTATTATCAACGTGTAGCTGCCCCAAGACCGCTCCGCAGAGGGTCTCGATATTCGAGAGAATCTCCGATGGAACGACGAAGCCCAAATCAAGGCGTTTCCACCAAAGAGGATCGGTTGCTCGAGATGATGAATTCCCAGAAGTTACCATCAACATGGTCAATAAAGGAAAATTTCCGATTGTTTCAAGTGGTTCCAACAATAATTTCTCTCCAGGAAGAAGAGTCAGTTCGGAAATAACCCAACAAATATCTCAGCTTCAGCTAGAAACCGCTGGACATAATGATTACCAGGGTGTCCATGAAGGAATTCATTCCGATGACGAACTCTCGGATTCTTATTCCGCAATCGCCTCTGACGATACAACGTCTAGCATAGGCGAAGCTCGGGAAGTGTTCATGACCAACACCGAGCAAATAACCAAAATCATTGAGAATGCTTTAGCTAAGTAGAAAGAAGCATTCAAGATCGAAGTAGAAATGGCTATGCAGGAGATGAGACAAATGCACGACCAACAAATCCGAGCTTTGTCAAATCAGCTAGTTGAATCCAGCCGTCGCACCCAGAACGCCGCAGTTGACAGCGATCCGGAAGTGGACGAAATCATCATGGCCGACGCACCACCCAAAAGTCCCACCAAAGATGACAATGCTGGGGGTGGCCCCGTTATTCCTCTCAAGAATTGTCCAAAACAGGATATAGACGAGGACGAAAAGATGAAGGACCTCGAGAGCAAAATTAACGCTTTAATGTCTGCTCAAGAGGTAAAGAAGACCGGCATTCCGTGTCCTTACCCGAAAGAGTGGGATTCGATCCCGTATCCGGCGAAGTTCAACCTGATCAACTTCACGTCGTTCGACGGGAAGAGCTCGCCCTCTCAGCACCTGATCTACTTCAAGACCCATTTGGGTATGATCTCTGGCAACGAGCCTCTGATGGTCCGTTCATTTGTTGGCACCCTTCGCGGGC